CCCTACGGGATACCCCACCCCCACCTCCACCCCACACCCCCCTTCACACACACACACACACACACACACACACACATTCGCGCACACACACAAGTATGCACACACACACAGGCATGCACACACTCCTGCACACACTCCTGCTCTATCTCTTCTGCCCCCCTCCATTTTCAAATTCCCTGTCTATGTCCTCTCCCATGTGCTTTCTCTCTTCCCTCCTTCACGTTATTCCTCCCTCTTTCATTTCCTCTTTCTTTTCTGTCTTCCTCTCTCTTTCCAGGTTCACCCAACTATCCTTGCCTCTTTTCTTTTTTCTCTTTTTCATCTCTTCTTGTATAACTTATTATTTTTCTTTCTTACTCCATCCATCCTATCCATTTTCTATCTTTCCTCATCTCTCTTCTTCCCTTTTTATCTTATCCTCTTTTCTATCATTCTCACTTCTTCCCACACTGTCTTCTGTCTTTTTCTATCTCTGCAGTTGTTTCATTCTGTTTCTTCCCAGCCTCCTTTCTCCTCCTCCTCCACCTCCTCCTTTCTTTCCTTCTCTTCATCCGTACCGCCCTGCATCATTACCCTGAGGGATGATGTTAGGTATATCGTCTCTTCCTCTCTCTCCTTCTCATTGCATAATGACCCAGTGGAACAATAGACAGAGCTTCTCAATAACAGCCTCAGTGTCCAAACATATTATCGTTAATGTCTTTAATATCTTTTGTTCACTTTGTCCTCTTTTTCCCAACAGACTGAGCTTTTTTAAACATCTTTACAAGTACTTACTATCCTTTTATCAATTTATACTCTTAACATGTAAGAATAAAGTACACACATTGCACTGTAGTAGGAAATCTACATATTCTATTATACATGGGCAGAAGTACTAACACTAACTCTCTTGGAATAGATGAGCTGTACTATAAAGTCAAACAAGTGCAAGTTAAATCCTGGGTGACTGTGAACATAATTTTGATTGACAGTAAATCATACGTCTGAAGTCTAACTTGATCAGACTTGGGTTTAGTCGTACATTCATGCAGGCAAATATGAATCACTTCTGTGTTTGAAGCACGTTCCAACCACGTTTCATTGTGTTGCATCATTTGATGCAGGTAGCACACAACTGACTCTCCTTACAGACAAAACCAAATGACAAAATACGTAATTTATCAGTGACTCCGAATTATATGGGGTTATGTTTACGAGATACAAGAGGCATATTTGTTACAGGAATACCAGTATGCCTTGACACTTATTTAGTAAGACACTTATAAGACAAAAACATCCCTTTTCAAGGTTTTAGTCTTTTGGCTTGCATTACGGTAATTTCTCAATTTTATCTCAACATATCTAATTTCAAGGTTTGGACTTTTGTTCGCATAAGTTCATTTCTTTTTTCAACCTGTCAAATTCCATTGATAACAATAGTGCTTGAGATGGTTTAAGTCCCAACAATATAATACAAAATATCCCAGAATCTCAAGACTAGTCATTAGACCTAACACCCTTCTTTGATGATGAAAATAATAGGAACCAGAATGGCACATCTAAAGATGCTCTGGGCCGAAACAAATGATGTAGACATTTCATGAAAAGGGAATAACGTTGCAGTAACTCTGTAAGGAAACGTAATGCCAACTGTATTACGTTTTCTAACACGAAGAAATGTTGTTAATGAATTGATCTGTCAGGACAAAAAAAAATTGTTGATAAATGTATCAGTAAAAAGTTCACTGCCATATCTAATCTTGCAATGGGACCACAGCATTATTTAACCTTTTTATGGCTATGTAAAGGCACTCACTTGGTTAAGGTTACGGAAAGATCATGGTCTTGATTTAATACAGAATAAGTCTGCAGTGACTTGAGATAAAGTACAATGTGTTAAGTAACATCTAACCAAAACCACAAACTTACCCTAACCTTAACCAAAGTGCATTTGTTGCCTAAAGCTAACCACAGGCAGAAATCTAGATGCAAACCCCAGACTCTGGTGTCACAGTCCTGTGCTTTGTACACCTCCTCCCTGCGACTCCGGCAATGTTGTTGCCCTTTAGTGTCAGTGTGACACTATTACTTTAACTCACTTGTCTTCCTGGTGATTGACAGAAGTGAATCTTATCAGGTGGCTTCACATTTTTCCAGCAGTTCAGAAGCTTTTTA